ACCAGGGCAACGAAACTTGCTGGACGTCACTAGGGAGATAGAATCTAGGAATCACTTAATCATGGGCAACAAAATCACTCACGTCGCTAATCATGGATTTCACTCAACACGACCAAGCCTAACCCTTGATTTAAGGAAGGAGAAAATCACTCTCTTCTTAGATTGATTATAGTTCACTCAATTGACTTTTTAATCTTACATATGGAACCCTTTAAATAGGAGGCTACCTTACATTAATAGCATAAATAACGTAATACTAAAGATTATAGTTACTAGGCATCTAATTAAAACATGGCTTTGAAAGATGAAAAGTCACCAACAACATGTTTAATTTAGGGACCATATTAATTGTTATGCACTGCATCATTGATTATTTGCATAAAACAATACGGAGAGATTGGTGGGATCATGGCATAGCAACAAATTCATTAGAAAGATTAGAGGTTGATTTGATAGTCTTGTCATCCCCCCCTCAAGCGAAACGGAACAAAGTGTAGATTGAGCTTGGAAGCAAGGAAAGAGAACCGTTCCCGAGAAAGTCTTTTGGTAAAGACATCAGCAATTTGATTATGAGAAGAAATTTGTCAAGTATGGAGGACTCCTTGAGTGAGAAGCTCACAAACAAAGTGGTAATCAATCTTTATGTGATGATTGCATGCATGAAAAATAGGATTAACGGTCATGTAAAGAGCAGAATCATTATTGACAAAGATGCATGGTGGAGTGCAAAGTGGAATGCCCAGTTCACAAAAGAAATAACAAAACCATTGTATTCAGCTACCGTCACAGAAAGAGCGCAATATTCGGCTTCAGAGCTAGAGAGAGACACAGTGGACTATTTTTTGGTTGTCCAAGTAAGGAGATTAGGACCAAGAAATATGCAAGCACCAATGATAAACTGGCAATCATCAATGGAACCCGCCCAGTCAACGCCGAAAAATCCACGAAGAGAGAAATCATGAGATGAACGGAAGAGAATACCATACCCAACGTTGCATTTTATATAACAATAGATATGTTTGACTCTTGAAGATGAGGTGATTTGGGATTGTGCATGTACTGACAAACTTGATTAACGATATAAGCAATATCGAGGCATGTCAAAGTCAAATTTTGTAGACCACCAACTATGCTTCGAAAGGTTTCAGGATCAGAGATGAGATCACTATCATGAGTGGACAAGCGTGTGAATGAGAGAAATGGTGTATGGCATGGCCTACAAAGTTCCATTTTGAATTTCTTCAACAAGTCTAAGGCATAACAAGTTTGAAAGAGAAAGGGATGATTGCCATATCGAGTGATCTCCATGCCGAGAAAGAAATTAAGCTCCCTTAACTTGCGATTAGCAAAGGTAATGCATAATTGATCAGTAACTTTTGAACTGCATCAGAGCTAGAACATATTATAATAAGGTCATCAACATACACCAAAACATAGAGTGAGTATGTAGATGAGTGGTGGATTTGCCGTGGAAGAAGCCATGACTACGAAGGAACGAGGCTAAGCGCTGAAACCAAGCTCGAGGGGCTTATTTGAGGCAGTAAAAAGCTTTGTATAGACGATAGGCATGCTTGGATTGATGTGAATTGACGAAATCAAGTGGATTTTACTTATAAACTTCCTCGTGCTACCATTTAAGAAAGCCTTGCGGATGTTAAGTTGTTGCAAAGACTAATGTTTAGAGACTGCATGGGCAAGAATGGTACAAATAGTACATGGTTTAACAAAAGGAATAAAGGTCTCATCATAGTCAATCCAGCATGTTGATTGTATCCCTTGGCGACGAGTCGAGCTTGTGATGCTCAATGAAGCTATCCGTCATGCGTTTAACCTTAAAGACCTATTTACATCTCACAATATTCATATAGAGAGTGGTTGGAAATAAGGACCAGGTTTTATTTTCGAGAAGAACCTTATACTCTTCCTCCATGGCTTGTTACCGGTGCAAATATTTGGAGGCTTGAGTGTGACTGATGGGTTCAATGGATTGAGAATCCTGAAGTACAACATCAAGTCCATGAGAGAGTGGATGCGCGGTAGTCTACATGTTTTGCCTAACGGGCCAATATGATATTTGTGATTGAAGGAGGCAACACTGCTAATGAGTAAGTGGTATTTTATTAGAAAACACTTGACAAACAAAAGCAGAGGGATGTCGTAAACGAGTATGCCATACATCATGAGTTGTCTATTCACCGTAAAAAACAAGTTTTTGTCTAATGATGGGAGCAGTACGGATGTAGGTATAGATCACCATGGTTATGCCCAATAAGAAGTACATGGCACGTGTGCTTGTCTTTCACACAAAAAGAATGATCAACGATCTAAAGAAAACAATGATTCTCATAACAAATCAACGAAGCGTTAACAAGTTATTTTTAATGGGAGGAACATATAATACATCATTAAGTAACATAGAACTATGTAAACCAGATATGGAGTAGTTTCCAACATGAGAGATATGAAATTGATCACCTTGGCCCACACTTACAGAATCGGTACACGTATAGGGTTAGATTTGTGTGAGGGTGGAAGGGTCATTAGTGATGTGATTAGTGGCACCAGGATCAACCACCCATGGTGTTGATGACTGAGAGTCAACGTCAGTAGTAGCGAGATAGTCAAAATTCCCACCTATGACGCATTGCTTGGCTTGGTGACTATATTCCTCACAAAGTTGATAGTATTCAACATATCCAAATGTAGGTGCCTTGGGTTGAGACAGTGCAGGAAGAAGAGGTGGTTTATTATCTTGAAGTAGACTTGGGTTAGGCCGAGGATAATTCAGTTAGTATGTGTTAACATTCATAAGACTATTATCTTATATATAAAATCAATCAATGAGAATTAGAGATTATGGATTCTGGAATTTGAAAGGAAGTCGTAAAGAGAAGAAGAATGTGCTCTCAACTCGCTACTACCAGACCTTGCCATGTTAGACTCAGTTCACAGACAACTCAAGCTCGATTTCGAGTTTCTTGGTAGTTCCTTCACAGATCTAAATGCCCAGTATCAATTGATCGAACCTGACTCTGAGGCCATGTTAATGTTCATAAGATTATTATCTTATATATGAAATCAATCAATGAGAATTGGAGGTTATGGATTCTGGAATTTGAGAGGAAGTTGCAGAGAGAAGAAGAATGGAAAATGTGCATCTGCATGCATCACATTCACATGCACATATTGTGCACCTGAATATCGTTAGAGAGAAGAGAGAATGAAATATTCTCTCATTACATCATGTAAATTTAACCATCCATTTCCTTTATCCTATGAGATAGTGACATATGGCACAAACCATCACTTACCCTAAGATTACATTGTAGCTGCACACTTGGACTATGATCCAACGGCTTACATTAAAACCGAGTTTTACACTTAACCTCTCTATAATTTTAGCAAAGCTTTTTAGCCAAAATAGTTCCTGAGATTTGCATAACTCATCACTTTGGTCCCTGAGATTTGAAATCAATAAAATTGGTTCCCGAGTTTGTCCATCATCAATCATTTTGGTCATTCCTTGAAAAACTAAGGACCAAATGACAAAAATACCCTCAAGTTAATAAACAATAGACCAAAATGATTTGACAAAAATTAATGGTGTTTTTGTCATTTTATCTTTATTTAATGAAGATTTTTCAAGGAATGACCAAAATGATTGATGATGGACAAAATAAGTGACCACTTCTATTGATTTCAAATCTAAAAAACCAAAATGATGAATTATGCAAATATCAAGGACTATTTTGGCTAAAAAATCTTTCAGCAATTACACTTGCACACCAACAGTTTGACGGTTTTGATTAGATGAACGCTAATCTAGACCACGACTGTTGCCTTGCTCAAAAGAGTGATGGGAAGTGACCGATGATTATTTGGGGCAAAATTTGCCAAGCCAACAGAGCTACGAGAAGCGACGAAAGCAGCTCTACTTGAAAAGGAAATAGTGGACTTTTTTTTTATGAGATAGTCTTCTTGAATGAGCAGATCGTAGCAGTCATCATACGAGAGAAAGAGAGGGCCGGAGATGAACGGCTGTTGCAAACTCTTTATATTCAGGACCAAGACTGTCTAAGAGGCTTTCAATGAGTTCTTCTATAGTAGTACTGGAGCCAATAATGTGAAGTAAATCCGCTAGGCTTTTGGCATGCATCAAATAACCGGACATGGACTGCTCCGAGCCTTTCTTGAGAGTGCAGAGTTGACCACGAAGAGTGCGGATGTGAGTCTTGGAGAGAGGAGAGAAACACTTTGCAAGAAGAGACCAAACATCGAAACCGTAGGTACAAGGAATCAGTATAGATCGTATAGAGGGTGAGCAGGTAGCCTTGATCCAACTGAGGACAAGTTTGTCCCGAGCATAATTTGGATTGACAGAGCCATCAGCAAGCTTCTTTAGAAGTTTGGAATTGGTGGTTAGGACATCTTCCATACCATGAATTTCAAGAATATCTGAAAATTAAGATCTCCAACTGAGGTAATTATTTATGTCCATGAGAGAATTGATTGTGTGGGAGATGTTGAAGGTGGTGGGGTGCGAAGTAATATAGAAGCCATAGAGGATCGTACTGTGCGAAGCTTTAGCTTGGGAAAAAGGATGATACCATATAAAGAAACATAGAACGGCAGAAAGGAAATAGAGCAAAGAATAAGAATATCTGTTATGGAGAAATGCTCAATTGTTTGCTCATTCTATTGATACAGAATAAATACAATCAGAGAGTTGACTTTGTACAATCTATAACAGGCAACTTATAACTATTAATTAGTTACATAAAACAATATGGAGAGATTAATTGGTGGGATCATGACATAACAGCAGATTCATTGGAGAGATTAGAGGTTGATTTGATACTCTTGTCAATCCTCATGTATGAAAAAAAAATAAATAAATAAATAAACAATTCAGTTCCTTATCAAAATTTCAGGCATCTAATTAAGGAGATCCCCTTAAATTTTTATGGAAATTATGATGTGATGATAAAATCAAGAACCACTAACAAGTAACAAAACATTTAATTTCCTGGTCCTTAGTTGGTACACCCTCCCTCATATGTCCCTTACACCTTAAAACACACATACAGACAGAGAAGAAGAAAGAGTGGCTATTAGCTACTGAGGCTAAAGCCATAATAAGTATCACAACCCACACAAACATAACCAAAAAATCAACCAAATTAAAGAAAAAGTAGAACCTAACTGAGGCTAAAGACTTAATGATATGCACCATTGGTTGTCGGAAGATCAAATGACCACGCGGTAAACGCCGGGTTCCAGTAACCCATTTCGCCACCGCCAACCGCCGGAGACGAATCCAAAATCGATGACGTGGAATATGAAGACAATGATGAGGAGGATGAAGACGCCACCACATTATTTAGTTGGTCGGAATAATAACTACCTGATTGTGATGTTGATGGTGTTAGCCTCTGAAACAATTCTTGAATTCCAATATTGCTGCTTTGAACTTCATGACCAACAATGAAACCGTTTTGTTGGTGTTGGTGATGGCTTGGAGGTGGTTGATTTTGGTTGTTGTTTCTCCAGAAAGAGCTGCACAGGCCAAGTGAAGGAGCCTGGCACACTGGATCCAACCCCAGGGTTCGAGCAGTATTCATTGCAATTGCCTCAGTAGTCATCATGTGGGACCCAATCATATTCATACCTCCCTCTTGCTTCACATTTACAGAATTACAAAGTTGATTAGGGTTAGGGTTTTGATGATGACTGGCTTTTAACAGGGCTAGTAAATGAGAATTCTGGGGCGAGCCCCATAGTATTGGGCTTGCTTGGACCTCCTGATCGAACCCCCCACCAAATCCTGAACGGCCAATCTCTGACACCACCGTTTTCAACTTCCCTGCGGCGGTCTTGCCTATGGAAGCCGTTGACCCGGTGACACTCTTGTTTTTTCTATAGCCGCCGCCAATTGGAACGTTGCGGAGGGCTCCTCCTTTTGTCCAGTAGCGGCGACAGGTCTTGCAGAAGTGGCGGGGTTGAGTGAGGTTGTAATTGTTGTAGTAGCAGAACTTGGTGTTGGAAGATTCGCATCTTGGGCATCTCAAGTTCTCAGTACTTGATAAACCTGCCGTGATTGTTGTGGTGGCGGTGGCGGTGGTAGTTGTTGAGGAAGAAGGGGATGGTGAAGGAGACAGAGAAGGAGAACAAGTAGTACCACCATGAAAGGTGAAAGATTTCCTCTCTCCTCCTTCTATGTTACTAAGGCCTGCACCTCCAAACAGTTCCTGGATCATCTTGGTTTTTTTATTTACTCTTATTCCTAGATCTACAACAATCCAAAAGCAAAGAGAAAAACAAATAAAGATAAAATCTTTTTGAGCGTAGTAGTATTTAGTGGAGAGAAAGCTAAAGAGATGAGAAAGTGGTTTTTGTTGTGTATTTAGTGTTTGTGTGATCTAGCCACTATATATATTATGTGCGAGGATATTGAATCGGAATATAGATATTCAAATAAAATGACTTGCTTTGAGACTTAAAGACTTAAGTTGTGGGGGACTTTGTTGGCAAATATTCTTGGGGTGTAAATGAATGGAGGGATTGCATGGTGGAGGAAGCTTTACTATATATAGGGTTACTGCATGTGGAAGACAGTATTTATGACAACTTCGATCTATATAGCTAAGCTAGACAGCATAAAGTGGTATTTAATTTTGGTGGATTCGGAATTCAGTTGCAAGTGGTTAATTTGGGAAGGAAGCAAATGGTCTTTTCCCAAATTCCTAGTCTTTTCTACCCTTCTGATCATCCAACGCTTTTGTCCTATGAAAAAATACAAGTTTAACAAGACTGCATTATTTCCCTAACGATTCCAATAACAGTTAGCCGAAGGAACTTAATTAAATCCAAATCACCTTTTCTTCTGTATTATCCATGCAGCTCTTGAGTGACCAACTAAATATGATACTGAAAAATTAGTCACTCTAGCTAGCTACTTAACTAGTGTGCTAAATTTCTGATTAAGGACCCAATGAAATGATACATTGAGCAAAACCCAAATTTCTTTTATCCAAATCCCAAGTGTTTTGTAAGTATATAAGTTTATTTCTTCTCAATTTTTGAGAAAGTGGGGGGCTTAAATTAGTGCAGAAACGCTTTTGCATTGTATCAATTATAAACGAATGGCTTGGCAATTGGCATTATAAAATGAGACGTTTTATATTACAGGAAGTGGGGGGTACAGAAGAGAATATATAATGATAATAGCAATCAAGTTTTCTAAAAGAATAATCTTTGTTGTGTGTGTGTGTGGGGGGGGGGGGGGGGGGGGGGGGGGGGGGGGGGGGAGGGGTCGTCTCTTGTGTTTCCTTCCTGAAGATGCTGTTCGAGAATCATCATTATAAGTTCGAGGAGTTGGCTAATCACATGGAAGTACGTGTAAAGCCAATGCCCTATAGCAACTATAAAGCCACTGCCCGAAAGTTATGGATTCAATTTGCCTTCCCCACACACCCACAGACACAGACACAGACACAGACACTACACCAAAGAGCTAACTAGCAGAGCCCCAGCTGACTGAGTTAGTGGTCGATTCAATTCATATGTTACCATTCATAGTGAAGTAGCCTTCTTTTTCATGTCTGAGTGATGTATATTTGATGGCCATTGGGTTTAGGTTGAACACATTGAGTAATTAAACCTAATTCAAGTAATAATTCGAACGTGTGGTTTGTTGTCTGAGAACAACTACTGCACGAGAGCACATTTCATTTGCATTTGAAACATTCATCATTGTTTCTTTCCAACAATGCAGTCGAGAATCCATGAAATCAGTTTTGTTGTTAATAATTTGAAAATTACTGTTCATTCTTGAAATCTGTATGTGCGGCGCTCTTCGCGAGATCTAAACCAAATTGACTTTTGTCAATCACTTATGCGTGGCAATTGAGTTTAACATTAATTTAACATTAATCTTAACTTAACAAAACAAATATTTGAACTATTTATCATACAAAAGATTATCCCATTCAAAGTGGGATGAAAATTAAGTCTAAATGTTACTAATTCATGTGTTATAATATGAGGGCACAATAAAGATTGTCACAATGTTACTAATCGCTTAGCTTACCTATGAGTATTAAAAAACATTCATGGAGATCATTTTTACAGATAAATTAGCAATCTTGACCAGCTGCTTAATCCGATCATGAACTATTTCACATTGAAGAGGCTGGATAGTATGAAATGTTCCTAAAAGCTCCAACATTTAGTAGACCTTGGTCATATAGGTAAAACCGAATTGGCTGGTGTGCTTGGTTAAGCGTGCAAAGTGGTGCCACCTAATTAGTAATTACATTAGCATAAGACAAATTGAAAATTAACCAGGTTGATGTAACTTTTATTGGTTAGCTAGCTGCTCATTCAATCGCTATTCAAGTTTATGTGGAGCAATTATTCTCTTAACTCTCTGACAACAACCCACAGTACGTATAGCAGATTAATTGATTGTGTGAAACGAGCTGCCTTCGAAGAGCTTGTGGTTTGAATGCAAATTACTTTGATTCGTGTTTGTTTGGACTACTTGAGAATCTGGAAGGAATATAAGAAGTGAATTAAAATGGCTATGAGGGGTCTACATGTCTCAGATTTTTGGAACAATCTGTGATCAATCGCCATCTTGGTTTGAAGATTGTTAATTGTGAAGATTAAATCTTATCGCTTAAGTTACAAGAAAACACAGAGGCTAATGTGTGATTACTGATTTATCTTGGAAATTCCTACTCTTAAAAAATATATTTTCAATTGAAATTCTACAGTAAATCAAAATCTAATTGATTCCGTGAAGCATGTGAATGGATTAGTTAACGGGTAGGTCCAACACAGATCTAATACAACCTAATCCTAGGTTCATTATAAACTATATTTAAAAAGAAAGAGAGTGAATGTGAATTTAGACATAAAGACTGTTAAATTCTATCAGGAGAAGATGATATACAATATTGTAAGAGCGTAAAAATCCATATTCATGAATATAGCGCTAAAGGAATTGAAGATAGTTAGAGTCTGTAAAAAATGAATAATAATGAGAAATTTTTTTCATGTGGGTTGTCACCTAATGTTAACTATTAGTGTAATGATACATCTTTGAATTTTGAGTGCTATTATTAAATAAATACATACATTAGAACATAAGCTGAATAAGTAGTCATTAAAGCGAAATGCAACACTACTTTACTTGAGCAACGGGCACATCAAAGCCAGAACTGATCGATCAGTTTTCATCTTTGACCAAAGCACTACCATCGGATCAAGTCTCTGAACAAATAATGACTACCCATGAAACCAAATTGAGAAAGGAGGCTGGCTTTGAATTCAAAGGACTTTTTTTGGTTCTAAATTCATGAACACATCTATACATGCAAAGGGAAATTATAGATCAATTTAAAGCGGCACAAACAACACACATTCACACATTGCACTTTGCTTCTGAAGAAAACGATATGTGAATGAAAAAGGAAGCAAAATATAAATAAATAAGGTCCCATAAAAAGGAAAATACATAATGCTCCACGTTAATGGTATTGTCTACGTACGTATCTGACCGCGCGTGCCGTCCGGAGCGCGAGACGTAATATTATAGACGAGGAGCAGACCGACATGCTTTTACCTGCGAAGGTCGGGCAGCGTGAGGGCAGCAAAAGACGACAGAAGACGTCAATGATATTACATGGGAATGGGCACTGGGCAGCGCGCGGGGGCTGAAGGGGCATCGCTGGTAATCAAGGGTCGCCGTCAATGTTGGTTGTGGGTTGAGTGGGGCAGTCGTTCCTCGATCTTCGGGCACTCTATTGCTTTACTATACATCTGTCTTGCTCAATCCTCATCAGCTGCTTTTTCTGTGTCAATCACTAGCCCGTTTCGCGCCGAATCACCCTCAAAATCTAGAACCATGTTTTCTATTATATTAGGACAATTAACTTTAAATATATAATATTCATTTGTTCTAAAATAGCTTGGCAGGCTCATGTTTTGGTTAATTTGAAAACATACACTTTCATTTACATATTTCAAAAGATTAGACCAAGGGAGGTAAGGGATGGATAGAGTTGGTTGAATAAGGATATATATGTTTGAAGGTCGCTCCTTTTAATACAACACAAACAGTAAAAAAAATATGTTACTATAAGTAAAGAAACCATGTTAAGTTAATTAGTAGGGTAAAGTACAAAAAACTACCTCAATTATTAGGGTCACGACAGTTTCATATCTTATCTTTTAAAATTGACAATGTCATATCTCATCTTACGAATTTGTGACAATGTCATACCTCTGTCAATTTTTCTGTTAGTTTTTCTGTAAAGTGCTGACGTGGCAAGAGAAAGGAACAATTCACTAATCCAGCTGAATTAAAAAATAATTAAATATATTTTAATAATTAAATATTAAAAAATTAAGAATACAAAAAACAAAACAAAAAATTCCTAGAAATGCGGCATCCCCTTTCCTTCACCCGCACCAATTTCAATTTTTTTTGTTCTTCTCTCTTCTCCTTGTCCTTCTTCATCTTCTTTTTCTTCTCCTGGCCGAAACTGAATTTCACTTTTTTTTTTTTTTTTTTTTTGTTCTTCTTCTCTCTCCTTCTTCTTCTTCTTCTTGGGCTGAAACTGGGTATGAAATTTTTTTTTTTCTTTTTGTATTTTGTTTTTGTTTTTTTTTTTTTTGTTTCTGGGTTGCAGATAGAGGGAAAAGGGGACGAAGATGAAGATGGGGAGGAGACAGAGAGGGTTCTTCTTCTTCTTGGGCCGAAACTGGGTTCGAATTTTTTTTTTCTTTTTTTTGTTTCTAAGTTGCAGGTAGAGGGAAATGGGGAAGAAGATGAAGATGAGGGAGGAGAGATGAGTGCGCGTTGAGTTTTTTTTTTTGGGGGGGGGTGTGGTGGGGGACGAATTGGGTTAGGTTGGGGTTTTTTTTTTTTTTCTTTTCTCCTTCTTCTTCTTCTTCCGCAGGAGGGGGTGTTTTAATTTTTTCTTCTTCTTCTTCCTTCTTCCTTCTTCTGGGTTGCAGTTTGGGTTTTTTTTTTTTTTTTTTTTTTTTCTCCTCCACCTCTTCTTCCTCTTCGCCTCCTTCTTCTTCTTCTTCCGCGGGCGGGCCAGGGTTGAGTTGATGGGTTTTCTACTTCCTCTTCCTCCTTCTTCTTCTCCTTCTTCCTTCTTCTAGGTTTTTTTTTTTTTTTTTTCTAGGTTGCAGTTTCCATTTTTTTTTTCCTCCTCTTCTTCTTGAGAGGGGGGAAGGGACAACTAAGGTTTTTTTTTTTTTAATTTATTATTTTAATATTTTAAAAATATTAAATATTTTTTTAGTTTTTAATAATATTTTAATAGAAAATGGACTCCTAATCAAGCCACGTCAGCACTTAACAGAAAAATTAACAGAAAAATTGACGGAGGTCTGAAATTGTCACAAATTCGTAAGATGAGGTATGATATTGTTAATTTTAAAAGATAAGGTATGAAAGTGTCGTGACACCAATAGTTGAGGTAGTTTTTTATACTTTACTCTAATTAGTATAGTATCATAAGAATGCAAATAAATTGTATTGATAATACAATTTT